CACTCAGCATAATGTCCTCCAAGTTCATCCACGTTATGCGGTGTTTTGCAGATTCTACATTATTCTTTAGCGTTGCATAGTATTCCATTGTTGGAAACACAAGTTTTAACACTTTCTCTCCAATTGTGCTCACCTCCCCAATCTCAAAGGAAGAGCAGAGAACAGGTTCCTTATAGGAGGGATGACAGTCCTGAATTTTGTGTAATTTTTATTCTTTTTAATAACAGTAAATGATTACAAAAACAATTTCATGGACAAATATTCCTTAAACAGAAAAAATTTGCAAGCACATGCCCTGATTTTTGGTTTAGAAAATGGTACCATAACTTACTAGGCATACATCTAATTACTCATGGAATAGCCCAATCCTGTGGTAAATTCAGCCACTCATTGCCCTCATCTTCCTCCTCCTACTAAAATTTCCAAGTAATTCACGCTGCAGCAGATTTTGTTTTGTTTCTTTTTAATAGAACTGCCTCCTTCACAATCTCATGGGTGGGGTCATTCCAAGGTTCTGCAGTAAAACACCTGCTCTGGCCCCTTACATGGAAATGACCACCATCTTTTGGTTGTATTTGCACAAATATGTGTGCCCAAGGGTGGGAGGCTTGACTTCTTATATCCAGCTAATCAAAATGAAAAACTATGTCCTCCTACCCACCATATCCCTTCCTAGCTGTACAGGGCTACTCAGCTATTATTTTGATTAAGAGCTGTCCATTCAGGGCACCACTGGGTCAGTTCTGAATTGTAATGGGCCAAAGCAGCTTTAGAAACTGGGAAGGAATAGAATGCAAGTAGGGGTGAGGAGTAGCCTTCAGGTAATAGTAACTTGACAACTTCAGGTGTTGACTAACCCTATCTTCAACTTCCAGTGTTTATTGCTGTTGGGTGCCACTGAATCAATTCTTATTCATAGCAAGCCCATGTGACAGAGAACTGCCCCACAGGGTTTTCTAAGCTATAATCTTTATAGAAACAGATCCCCAGGTCTTTGTCCACAGAGCTGCTGCGTGAGTTTGAACTGCCAACCTTTCGATTAGCAGCAGCCAAGCAGTTAACTGTTGTGAGACCAAGGCTCCAGTGTTTAGTGTGAGGCAAATGAGGGTGGGAGATGTTAGGGAAGCACTGTGCAGTTGACTACATGAACCTATGCATCCTTCTTCCATGCTGCCTTGCAATGTTTTTCACATTGCTGTGTGCACGTGCCTGACTCCACTCTCATATGCCACTGCCCACCTCTCTCTCCACCATTGTTCTCCAAGTTTGAAAGGCAATGGTTGCCTGTCTTGGGCTATGGCGCTGCTAAGGGAGGCTATGAATCTCATCCTTAAGGCCCTGGGTCAGATCAGTTTCTGCTGCTGTCAGCAGAGCAAGCCCAGCCCTGCTGCTTCCTGTCTGGACCTGGTGCAATGCCATCTGGGTGAAGGGTCAGGGGCTTCCACTCTGACTCAGGTTGTCTGGAAGTGCTTATGCTGCATCCTCCCTTTGCTGAGAGCTCAGACACTCTAGCAAACTAGTCACAATGCCATAAAGAGAACATTTACACATACTTCTGTAGGGTGGCTGGTCTTATTACCTGAGAGGTAGGGATACCAGGAAGGATAAAGCAACTGAATGTCAAACTTGCAGAAATAATTGGCCACATTGTTTCTCAAAAAACAAAAACAAAAAAACAAACTCACTGCCATCGAGTCCAAACTCATAGCGACCCCTCCTTGGGTTTCTGAGGCAGTATCTCTATGGAAGTAGATTGTCCAATCTTCCTTCCGAGGAGTAGCTGGTGGGTTTGAACTGCCAGCCTTTTGGTTAGCAGTCAAAAGGCTTAGGCACTATACCACTAGAGCTCCCACACTGTTTCTACCTGTCTTCAAAAAGAGTCTCTGGTGGCGTAGTACCTAAGGCACTAAACTGCTAACCAGAAGGCTGGCAGTTCAAACCCACCAGCCAGTCCTTGGAAAGAAGGTAGGGCAATCTACTTCTGTAGTGATACTGCCTTAGAAACCCAAGGAGGGGTTACTATGAGTCGAAATCGACTTGATGGCAGTGAGTGAGTGAATTAAAACTGATAGAAGGCCTTCCGGATGCATGTCTTCTCCTGTAGACATGTAATTTCCTAGAGGGCAAGTACACTGTGTCTTTGATAAGCTGTCTCCAGCACTATGAACATCATGGGTGTGGTCCCAGTGTTACAGATGAGCGGTAATACTTCAGTGGCAAACATACAGAGGGGCATGATTATGGAAGGTGCTGTGCGAAGCCACTACCATTTCAAACAAGCTCCCCACTGACTAGATTACTTCTCCTGGGGCTGTTGGGCTCCTTTCATGGGGAAAGTTGGAACCAATGAAAGTCCTGCCTCTTCTTCCCTACTCCTACCCTTGGGACTCTTTGGCTGTTCCAAACAAGGTGGGACAGAGCCACCATCATTCCCCTTAGTGGATGGGGCCCATGAGCCTTATACAGTCCCATTCCCAAGGCAGAGTCTGGCCAAGCCCATCCACTCACCACCAGCTGGCTTGTCTTCTGTGCTGTTGCGTAGGTGGCTCTGCCTGGCTTGCATGGGGGGCTCCTCACTGACTGGGCTGGTGACCCCAGGAATGGTGGGCAGGTCCCGGGGTGGTGTTTTGGCCACAGGTGAATTCCGACACTCCATCAGGAATTTCCGGTCATAGATGATCCTGGTACCTGGAGGACACAGGGACATTGGTAAAGCCAATTTGAACCACCTACCTACTCATTTTCCAGTTCTGTCAGGTGTAGTTGTAGTAGAGGCAGCAGGTTCTCCTGCAAAAGCTGTACCAGGGAAGAGTGAGGCTTATTCAGGGGTGTGGCTGCGGCTCAGGACTCTGCTGCCTCTGAACTATCCTGACTGCCTTCACAGAAGGTACTTTGATGGAAGAAAGGGTCCACTGGCCACGACACCACACCCTTTCTCTTCTCAGAGCTCTGTGTACCCTGTGCCCTTAAAGCCCATTAACTTACACACTAATCAGTGATTGCTGTTATTACTTGTGACAATCATAGCTGACAGTGGGAAAGTACACTTTTATTCATTATTCAATTTCATCATGATACTTTTGTGTGACACCCACAACAGGTATCTTTAACCCCATTTTACAAATGAGCAAACAGAACAATTAAGTGATTAATCCAAAACAGTAAAATTGAGAAATTTTTCTGCCTGAGCTTTGTGAAGAGGAGATGGGGCAGAGGAGAATGAACTCACCCACCAAGCTCTACCTGCCCTACAGAAGGCTCTTATGCTAAGACAGTGAAGCCCCTACTATGCCTCTTTTACTGGTCACCCATCTGTTCTGATGTGTCCCTGCACTGCAGAGCTCGTACAGTCTGCATTCCATTCCTTTTCTTCTTTTCCACTCTCCTTCATAAGTATTAGTCTTACTCCTATGGTGAGGACAATATCTTTTTAAATTCCCTAAACCTAAGTTTGCAGTGTCTAAGGTATTTGACTGCTAACTAAAAGGTTGGCAGTTCAAACCCACCAGCCACTCCATGGAAGGAAGACTGGGCAATCTAATTCTGTAAAGATTTACTGCCTTGGAAACCCAAATGGGGATCACTGTGAGTTGAAAGGCGCTCTGGTGGAGTAGTGCCTAAGGCATTTGACTGCTAACCAGGAGGCTGGCAGTTCAAATACACCAGCCACTCCTTGGAGGAAGATTGGGCAATCTACTTCCATAGTGATACCACCTTGGAAACCCAAGGAGGGGTTGCTATGAGTCGGAATTGACTTGATGGCAGTGAGTTTCATTTGGTTTGGTATGAGTCGAAATCAACTCGATGGTAGTGGGTTTGGTTTGGTGGTTTTATCCCTAAACTACACCCAAGCACCATCTATCTGTAAGGGTGTCACTGCCTAGCAATACCATATAAAAAGCATTTCTAAAGTATTGGAGTCAAGGTCCTTGTGGGAGACTGTAGTGGGTTAAATTGTGTCTCCTTAAGAAATACGCTGAAATCCTTGAACAGACATTTCACCATAGAGGATATTCAGAGGCCAACAAGCACATGAACAGATGCTCAATGTCTTTAGCTATTATGGAGATGAAAATCAAAACCACAATGAGATACCACTCTACTTCTACTGAAACAAAACAAAACAAAACCTCCAAAACCATTCCCATGAAGCTGATTCAGTGCAGACTCCTAGCAACCCTATACAATAGGATAGAATTGCCCCATATGGTTTCCAAGGCTGTAAATCTTTATGGAAGCAGACCGCCACATCTTTCTCCCATGGAGTGGCTGGTGGGTTCAAACTGCCAACCTTTTGGTTTGCAGTTGAGAACTTTTAACCAGGACTCCTTCTAGGATGGCTAAAATAAATAAGAAAAGAGAAAATAACAAATGTAGGCAATGGTAGGAACGCAAAATGGTACAGCTGCTTTGGCAATTCCTCATGAGTTAAACATAGAATCAATATGAACTGAGGAATTCTGCCTCTAGGTGTATATCCAAGAGACTTGAAAACAGTGATGCAGACAGACATGTGTACACTAATGTTCACTGCAGCACTGTGCACAATAGCCAAAAGGTAGAAACAACCTTAATGTCCGTCAACAAATGAGTGGCTGAACAAAATGTGATATATACATACAATGGAATGGTACTCAGCCATAAAGAGAAATGAAGTCCTGATACATGCTACAACATGGATGACCCTTGAAAACATTATGCTGTGTGAAAAAAGTCAGTTACCAAAGGACAAACATGATTTCTCTTATTTAAAGTATCTGGAATAAGCAAATATATAGAAACCGAATTTTATTAAGGAGCCCCAGAGTATAGTGGTTAAGCACTCAGCTGTTAACTGAAAGGTTAACATTGCTCCACAGGAGAAAGATGTGCAGTCTGCTTCCGTAAAGATTTACGGCAGTCCTAAAGGGTAGCTATGGGTCAGAATTGACTAGACAGCAATGAGTTTAAAATTTATTAGTGGTTACTGGGATGGGAGGGGGAGAAACAGGGGAAGCCATTGTTTAGGAAGCAGTTTTTGTCTGTGGTAATGGGAGACTTGGTAACAATTATGGATGATGGTTACAAAACATGGTTGATGTATTGGTATCACTAAACTGTATAACTGAAAAATGTTGAATGGGCAAATATTGTGTTATAGATATTTTTTAAAACAATTTTTTTAAAAGTTCAAGTCCTATGTGTAACCACCAGTATCTGGGAATGTGACCTTATTTGGAAATATGGCCTTTGCAGTTGTAATCAAGTTAAGATGACATCATATTGGATAAAAGCGGGCCCTAAATCCAGTGACTGGTATAAAAAACGGCATGAGGGAGGCATTATCTGATGTCCTCTAACCTCACAAGTCGGGAGGAGGATCAACATCAACATCAGCAGCCCAATGCTGAGTCCTATGAGGTGGAGGTCAGACATGCCTGTCCTGATCGAAGAACTGTATCCTGAGTTGTTTCTGATCCTGAATTGTAACTTGTTACTTCCCTGATGAACTCCATAATCATATTGTCTGGAAGTTTTGTGTGGCCATTGCAATGAATTATCAAACCCAGCAGATAAGTAAAGAGTGCCTTTGTACCAATTCAGACACTACCACACTCTCTAAAACAACTTAGGATACAGTTTTTCAATCAGGATAGACTCTTCTCAGCAGTGCCAGCAGCCGTGCCTCTATCTCTGGTTCTCAGCCCTGTGGCCTCTTCTTTGCTAGAGCAAGTGGTACAAAGCTCTTTTAGCTCTGCTGAAAAGTACCTACAGGTACCCCACTCCACCAGGAAGCCTTGACCTGAAGATGCTCAGTTCTAGTTCCATGGGTCAGCAAAATTAGCTCCACAAATACCCAGAGGCACCCCACTCTGCCAGCAAGGCTCCTGCCCAAAGGGGCTCAGATTTCTTGCTCTGTGGATCTAGAAGCTCATTGTACTGTCTCCTGGTTCTCGTACTGCCACCGTTTCTCTGCCACTGCTTCTTGCCATTTCCGCAAAGTATTATTGCTCTCTGTCTCCTGGGTCAAGGAGGTTCAGGACAGAGATCTCAGGTCCAAAGCACATGCTCCACTCCTGCCTCTTTCTTAATGGTAGTGAGATGTCATATTAAGCCTAGCAGGATGGCAAAATTGAGCAATCCCCACATTAGGGTTCCATTCACCTTAGTTGCATGGCCTCATCCGCACAATGTGACGTACACTTTATTTACATTGTTAGCAGCTATCCAATCCCCTTGGTGGGCCAGCAGCATCTCATATTTGCATAGTCCCACACAGTCATCTGGTGGGAGTCACCGAGACCACGGCTAGAAGGGCCATACCAAGCAATTCACTGCACTGCAAGTGGCATCCTTATAAGCAGCCCATGTGAAGACACAAAGACATATGGGGAAGAAGGCCATGTAATGACAGAGGCAGAGATTGGAGAGATGCAGCTACAAGCCAAAGAACAACAAGGATTGCCAGCAACCACCAGAACCTAGGAAAGAGACATGGAGCAGGATTCTTCCTCTGCTGTTTTTCTTGTTAGGTGCCGTCAAGTCATCTCCAACTCATGGCAACCCTATGCACAGCAGAATGAAACACTGCCCAGTTGTGCACCAGCTCCATGATCCTTGTTATATCTGAGCCCATTGTTGCAACTACTGTGTCTATCCATCTCGTTGAGGGCCTTCCCCTCTTTTGTTGACCCTCGACTTTATCAAGCATGATATCCTTCTTCAGGGAATGGTTCCTTCTGACAACATGACCAAAGTAGGTAAGATGAAGTCTGGCCATTCTCACTTCCAAGAAGCATTCCCATTGCACTTCTTCCAGGACAGATTTGTTAGCCATTTTAACAGACCATGGTAGTCTTAGCATTCTTCTCCAACCAACCAAAAAACCAAACACTGCCATCAAGTTGGATCCAACTCATAGCGACCCCTCCTTGGGTTTCTGAGGTAGTATCACTATGGAAGTAGATTGCCCAACCTTCATTTTGAGGAGTGGCTGGTGGGTTTGAACTGTCAGCCTTCTGGTTAACAGTCAAAAGCATCAACTCTTCTAACAATCTCTTCTAAGGATTCTTCCTTAGACACTTCTCAGAGATCATGGCCCTGCCAGCACCTTCATTTCAGACTTCTGGCTTCCAGAACTATAAGAGAATAAATTTCTGTTGTTTTAGGCCACCCAGTTTATGGTAATTTGTTATGGCAGACACAGTAAACTAACACAGAGACCCTCTCTCTCTAACCTGAGTCATCATGTAACAGTACATAAGAAGGGTATTCATAGTCAGATCTGTTTTAAAATCCTACCTTCAACAGGAAAGAGGCTCTAGCTAGAATTTGAAAATGGCCTTGTTGTCATTATCTTTCTTTTTATGTTGTTGTTGTTGTTATGTGCCGTCGAGTCAGCCCTGACTCATAGCGACCCCTCCTTGGGTTTCCGAGGCAGTATCACTACGGAAGTAGGATTGCCCAACCTTCCTTCCGAGGAGTGGCTGGTGGGTTTGAACCGCCAGCCTTCTGGTTAGCAGTCAAGTGCATTAGCCACTATGCTACCAGAGCTCCCTTTCTTTTTATAGTAACCTTCTATTTATGACAAGTGAATCTTTCCATATTAAAAAAAATGTATTTGGTATCTGTAAAATTTTATTGAAGATCATCAATGTAAAAAAGTCATTGAAATGGCCTAAATTATAGAAACAAACAACCCAGATTGT